AAATAGTAAACCCATAGCAACACCGATGGAAATAAATTTCCACATGAATGAAGGACAACCTATAGAACAAAATATCCTGTATAGAAGGCTGATTTGCAGTCTGATGTACTTGGCATTGGTGACAAGACCAGATATCGCTAATAGTGTTGGTTACTTAAGCCGATATCTGGACAAGCCAACAATACAAGCATGGAAAGCTGGAAAAAGGCTTATGCGCTACCTTAATGGAACTATGGATTGATGTATGAGAAAAATGATGGAGGCTAAGAAGCTATGTGTGATGCAGATTGGGCTGGTGATAGGCAGACAAGGAAGAGCGTAAGTAGTTTCATATGTTTCCATGACGGGAATCCAATAGCTTCGCACTCACGAAAGCAGAGTTGTGTAGCCCTTTCTTCAATGTAGGCTGAGTATGTAGCAGCTGGTTGCGCAGTTCAGGAGGTGGTCAATTTGACAGGTATTTTAGCAGACTTTTGGCGAGTGCAAACCTGATACTTAAAAAATAGACAATCAAAGTACTATTTCCATGATTAAAAACTTTGAGAACTCCAAGCGAGGTAAACACATAGAAATTAAGTATCATTTCATTAAAGACCTTTGTTAGAAAAAGATAATAGAAATTATTCACATTTGTTCCAATGATAACTGTTTTGATGTGTTTACAAAGTCGTTAGGAAAATAAAAGTTTGTGAAGTTTAGGCAGAGTACCAGAATGTACCTATTTGTTTTCTTATTTTATTTTGCTATAATATACCGGGTGGGGCACGAAAAACTCTCCACCCAGGTTTACTCAGGTGTTAGGTGTTTAATCAAAAATCGCTCAGACACGTCAATTTTTGTTTTCTGGGGGGCACATTTTATTGGTATGTTTACTCCCTACCTGTGAACCCCTCAGTGGGGGTGACAGGTACCCCCAAAATTTTAAATGAAAAGGGGGGTCGAGTGATATGTCGGCGATATTCTGTTACAATCTAGGACCAACGTGTATTATATCGTTGAGGCTAGTGCCTTTGCAGTATGCATCAAATAATACTCTCAAACGAATGATTGTGCTTGATTCTCGGATAACTGCCTGATGAGAAATGTAATATTTTTCTTGAATTATTTCATGTCCAAGGTTGAGGTATTCCTTTATGAAGTTTGCATACTGCTCGTGTAAGTTGGCGTCTACTTGGAATTTCTTTTCGATGTTTGCAAGTCGTGCTGCGGCTTTTGGCTTTGAGTATCCCAATATTTCTGGAGATGTTTTGAATGGAATACGAATTATGAATCTGCCATTCATGTATCGGGTTGTCGTTTGTTCGTAAAGTTCTTCACAAGCTTGTTCTTCTTCCGTAAATTGGTGGCTTGGAGTAACTTCTCCGCTTCACACAGAGCGATCATGCTGACGACTTCAATGCTCTGGCACGTTGAAAATACTGGACCAGATATAATCTATCCTAGCTCGGTATTTTGTTTCAAGAGACCCTGTTGAGTTTTCTGGAGATTATTCAAAATTATTGTAGCATATTCTTTTGCTCCGAAAATCCCATTTATAGCTCCAGGTATCATAAAAGTAGGATCTGCTAGAACTTCATCTTTCCATGTATTGATGCTCTCTATGTGGACTGGGTTAACTTTGAAAGAACTATCATGCTGATCTTCATGTAGAACGTACTTTTGTTTGAATCGTGGTGTAATAAAGTATCTATTGACAATTTTGAGATCTTGTGCTCTCCCACGCCAGATATCTCAGCTCTAATATGACGTCGTGGAAGCCCTAAGCGTTACGCTACTTCTTCGGTGATGTAGGATGATTGTGATCCTTGGTCAATCAAGATTCTTAAAGGCTGTGCCGAACTTTGAGTTTGGAATTGTACGAGAGTTGTTGCTAGTGAAACATTTTCTTCCTCTTGGCTTGCATGATTTGTCGTAGTGTTTTGTTGCTGTTGGAATTGCCTGCCTGATAAAGTGTGTGATGTTGATGGCTGCAAATATTACATTTTGTTTGGCTGAAGAATTTCTTCTGAACATTGTGGCTTCAACAGTTTTGGAAGATGTGTTTCTCCTGCACCCATTTGCCTCTCTCTAGTGGTAAAATGGCTTTAAACTTTTGGCAGTGGTTAGTCATGTGACTTTGGTTGTGACAGTACAAGCACTTTGACTGACTGGATTTGTTGACACTGTTTCTAATGATTAAAACCTCTAAGAAATTTATAAATTCTCCAAAATCTGGTACGTCATGCGGTGCTTGAGGACTCTGTTCATAGAGGCAGTTGGTCTGAGAGTCCTATTTCCGGATGATTATGCGAATCACTATGGGCCCCCATGCATAAGTCTTTATCTCAATATTCTTCAAGGCTTGCAGGCATTCGCTAGTGACGTCGTATAATTGTTTCAGCTTCATTGCATTTTCTTTGGAAACGGTTTGCAAGTCCAATAATTTATCCAGAAGTTTGAAGATGAGCAGTTTCTTGTTTTTGAATCGTTTCTGTAATACTTTCCATGCTGAATCGTAATTAAGTATGTAGATGTTGGATCAGTTTGCTTGCTTCTCCTCGTACGTGCGTTTTTAAATACTGCATTTTTTCGGCTTTGGTCAGCACGTGACTCTCATGGATTACTGTTTTAAAAAGATCGTAGAATGTAGACCAATTCTCGTATCCTCCATGGAAAGTTAGAATCGGAATCTTGGGAATTGCAAGATGTTGATTTACCATTTACTTGAGGGACTAGAGTAAGTGCGTTTTCTTGTATTTTGATTGTTAGTTTTCCAGTGATATCTTCGTACTGCTGTTGCATTTTATTGTATGGATTATTAGTGAAGTATTAATTCTGAAATATATCTTCAGATATCAATATTTCTTCGTGTAGGTCTTAGATGGCGCTCCATTGTTTTCTAATTTTTCCAGCTGTAGCTGATATTGAGACTTCGATTTTTCTTCAATTATCGATTTGGTTTAAATCTCCAGCTGTTGAAGTTTAAAATTCTGCTTTTTTAAACGTTGATTTTGAATGGTGTTTGTTGCAGTCTAGCCAGCAGGTGGTTGAGTGGTTGTAGCATTTGTACAGTTTTTCAAGTAGTTCTTTGCTTTTTTTATATAGGCATTTTTTTTGAGGGAACAGTTTCAAAGACCGTTTTGAAGCAGTTTGAGCTCTGACACTATTTTTATGAACCAAAAAAATGCAAAGTTTCAAAACTAAAATCCTTAATCTAACCTTTAAAAAAAAATTCGACTTGTTTTTTTGACAATCTTTGTTTTGATGATTTGTTTTAATTTAAAAAAATTAGTCTTTGACGATTATTTTCATATCCTTTTTATTTGATAATTATATGAAAAAACAATAATAAGATTAGTAAGCATGTGAAAATGGAGCAAGAAAATGAGAATGAGATGATATACCGTACGTCTTTTATTCAGTGCAGAAATCAGTGACATAATTTGCTCATGTCTTTTCTGCGAATCATCTTTTAGTAATTCCACCATTGTTTGGAATTCCACTTTCTGTTTTTGCTCGGATCTCTCTGCCAAAGTGTAAAACTGTCGCAAAATTTCGTTTTTGTTTGGAGTTACTTTTTTAACACATTTTTTGAATGTGTTTGTAAATGTAGGTGTTTCCCTTTGCGAGTTGCACGTTGCATTTTCTGGAGTTGCTGCAGAGGGTGGGGTAGATTTGGGAGTTGAAAGACTTCTATTTTTATTATCTTCACCACGAACAACTTTTAAATTTGAGCATTCTTCCAGAATCCAGTGTCGTCTTAGTTTTATTGCTTGACGAGTCTACTAGGAAAGTTGGATGTACTTTATGTTTCTCTCCCAAAATTTCATCCACCTCATCATAAAATGGGGGCTTTTCGATTTTACCTACAAAAAATATACATGTTTGCAATATGCAAAACAAGGCCAAAATAATAAATAATATGTATTTTGTACTTACCTTCTCCAGTGTTTCGTTTCTTGTCTATATATTTCATGTAAGAACTTTGGAGGTTGACAAATTTTTGGCGGCATTTTTCTCGTCCCTCGACTCCTTCCCCATCAAAAAAGCCAGCTTCATTCATGTTCTGAGCTATCTCTAACCAAAGACAATTTTTGGCCGTGCATTTATCAGAAAATTGATTGTTTAATTTTTTTCGTAGATCCAAAAAATATATTGTGGCCCTTTAATCAGTCTCGGTTTGGACTCTAGAGGTAGTCCAAACCTGGTTTTTGCCAGGTTTTGAAATTGATATTTTTTTATTCTTCTTCTTCTTCCATTTCTTCACTGTTCACTAATTAAACAATTTTTCTTTGAAATTTTCAAATAAATTCAATCAAAATTCATTAATTCAGTCAACGGGGAGAAAGAAATAATTTGGGGTTCGAACTGTTAGAGCTTGACATCTGTTTAAATTTGGCGCCTTTTCTTGACAGTTTCCTTTTTTGAAACGGTCTCCCAGAAGCTTTTAAAACGTTTTCAAGCAGAATCAAATGTGACGTCATCAATGACTCAAGAAAACGGAGTGTTTTGAAACTGTTTCAATACGCTTTGTCGCAAAAAAATGCCTCAAGTTTATCCTTTAACTGTTGAAAGTAGTTTTTGCTGAAGTAAGCGTGCTCTGGAATTCCAAATTTCATGATTTCTTCATCTCTAGCTTGAATTTTTTTCCATATTTTTTCTAGTGTAGCAGTGCGTTCGTCAATGTATGTTTCAGTTTTTCTCTACACAGAATGAATTGAATTTTTTATGTATAATTCGTAATTATACAAGAGAAACAGCAAAAATCTAAATCAAAACTTCTAACAGGGCAAAAGCTTTCATATTGGTTTTTCCACCTTGAGCAACTATAATCAATACCACATCCTGGGTACTCCAAATCAACCGAATCAAACAAAATAATAATAACAAACCTTGGACTTAAAATCAGACCGTTTTTTCAGTGCAACCGTGTAAAACAAAACCACTAGAAAAGTCACAAGACTAAGCTCGCGCATGTGACGCTCAAAAAATTTTATTTGCACGCAATAAATATAACAACGGAAAGCTGGCAGCGGCAGGTTGTATTTTAGAACAACAGTTTGTGAGACAACGTTATGGTAATTTTCCGAAATTAATTTCGTTTCAAAACAATCCTTTATGAGGGTTTTCTGAGAGGATAAAATCGGCGAGACAATTGGGAAAAGTTTCAGTTGGTGGCTTATGGTTGGAGAGTAGAAAGGTAATTTTTTTTTTTCATTGATATGAAACTAAAACCTGCAATATCAATTCCAATAATCCCGTTTTAAAACCGAATAGCTTTTCCAAATAGCCAAATCCCTGCGTCCAAAACATTTTGCCAGGTTTTTTTTTTCTAGTTTTCGATGCATTTATGGTTTTGGCTTTGTGACTGTGTAAACGCAACTTTTGATTAATTGTTTGTGACGTATGACTGTGAAAAATTGAAAAAGGAAGCTGGTGTTTTGCTGAATTTATCTGTTTTCGGATTTTAGAGTGCAGATGTAATTTTAACAAACAATATTTATTCAAAGGCACTTAAGTAATTGGCACTGATCTGCTAATAACCAGATGCCTAATATATCACGAGTTACATTTACCTAATTATTAACATTAACATTTTACAATTATTTATATTGTAAAATGCCAGAGACCGGAAATATTTAAGCACTATAACTATTTATTTAAAAATTTGGCTTTTAATTAAAACCAATGCGTTTGTATTTTAAATTAAAATTTGAGAGGGCACGGTTTTATGTACCTAAATCAAATAATTAATTAAAATTAGAGATACCTACACACGGAGGATATGAAAAGTTGAGTAAATATTTCAATTATGAGGGCAAACATTTTCCCACTCGTAAAGTCTAACAAGTTTTCAGCAGTTTCAAACTTTCCACAAAGCTTCATCTACGCAGCATTATATAGTGTTTGCTCCACAACATTTCTAGGGTAATGTTTTTTTTGTAGAATCAATAACATTTTAAGCCAACTTATCCTGAAATAGACAAAAATTAAATCCATGGTTTTCTTCACAAGAATTGATTACTCAGAGATAAAGTGAATTTTTTAATTACTGGGTACGATAGAATAAACCCACCAAATTTTAATCCATTAAACCTCTTACAGAGTTTATACATCAGGGAAATATTCACTTAAATGTTGATTGAAATGATTGGGTGGTTTGTGTTACTTGTTATGTAGGCACGCCAATGAACTAGGTACTTATTGACACAGTTGATTAAGAAACAGGGTATAGTTAACATAGTCTCATAAAATTCAACAAAAAAACGGCCGTCAATTCAACAAAGAAAGTTTCATTAATGAAAAATTTACGCAAAAGAAAAGTAATTTCATTAACATTCAGTTGAATTTCCTTAGGCTTAGAAGAGAAAACTTTTGCCTCCATCTTCAAAGTTTTTAAGTCGATACTAATGAAATTTTCATCCGCATTCACTCAAGCTCATATTATTTTGAACCCAAAAGAGTGATTTTGCAATTGATTGTATATAGTTTATGATTTATCCAACTTTTCCCTAACAAATATTGCCCTTATTGCAAAAAGTAACCCATGTTCTAGAATATGTTTACAATTACAATTACCTATCTGGAGCCTAAGCTAATAGATGCCAGACTCAACTTTCATATATACCAGCTTGCCAAAATAAACTCTATCATTTAGGTATCATATTTTTATTCAATCTTTCTTATTTATTGTATCTCCCAAATTTGTCCGAGCCCTTCTATCTTTAAGCAGTTTGGATCCAATTCCATATATATTTTGTCACATACAAATTTGATAACAAGCTCTCAAATTTCAATTTTGTGTTTGCGTCCGTTTTTCTATATTTGGATGACTTCTGTCTTTTTTATTTTGCTACCTATATTTAAAGTATTTTCCTCTATTAAACATTTAGCTGTTTTCTACAGCACCTCGTTTCTCATTTTAATATTGCTGCTTTCAGTTCTCCAGTATGTATTTCGAGTCTTCGAGAATTTATTCTGATCTTACATTATGTATTTTTCTTTTTTGGTCTTGGAATTTAGAACTTTAGTTATTATTTCATCTTTTGTTCCTAATTTTGGTCACTTGTTTATTAATTTGGATCCCAGAACTTTCATACTTTTGATGTCTTCGATTGTATATTTGATCCCCTTAGTATTTTGATCTCTTATTATTAATTTTTTTCGAATGTGTTGATTTCCTTTGCTAAGTTTTCTATAGTCCTAAATTCTCAATTCTTATAGATCTTTTCTACGTGACCTAATCTTGCTAAAGTTTTCCTCTTGTATAGAGGATATATTTCTTGTTGCCACCTGAATACTGGCAAAGGTCGCATATTATTTAGGTGTATTTTCTTGATTACCCCAGCGTAGTAATTTGGCCAGTTATTTTATCAGGATTTCAATAAATCTCTACACCAATCTTTATCCTCCTTCACACAGGCCTCCTTAATTAACTCTAGGAAATCCGAATGGATTTTCTTATAAAAATACTTTGACATCGGATTTTGATTGGTGCAAACGTTAACTTTTTGCTCAATATTTGTATCTAGTAAAAGCCACCAAAAGTACTTAATCTCCAACTCTTTAAAAAGGTGTTCTCCTCGATGTTTAGGAACTAAGGCCTCCTTAACGATGCCTTTTTCAATATATAATTTTCATTGTTATTAGGAAACCTGTACCTGATATAATTAGTATAAACCGTACCAAAAATTATATGCCTGATCTTGTTTTTGTGGAACATACAGGCAGAACCGACACAAGTACATACGAAAGTACTTGAAGTACAAGTTTTTCAAAATTATTCTTCGATTATCAAGTAAACTTGAAATTTACTTGAATTTCGTCAAGTTATTATTACTTCAAGTAAAAACATTAAGCTTCAAGTAAAGTAGTAGCACAACCGTGGTAGCATTACTTGACGTATATTTAGTACTTTTGAAATATGTAAAATACTTTAAGTGGAGTAATTTTAGTACTTCAAATATTTAAAATCTGTTCAAAACAAGACAATTCTTATTCACAATATAATCCGATACACATTCTATTCATCTTATCCGAGCTTTATGTTATTTATTAGTTATAAAGTAATGAAAGTACTAAGGTACTTTGGTGCTTAGTAATTTTTCATATTTTTTGCTATAAGGTGCGCCGATTCAAGTAAAATTTTGTATGTCTTAGTCTCAGTTCTAAAAATCAAGCGGAGCCTGATTTCAAAATAGGTAGGTTACAGGGTATTTAATTATATTTAAGCCCATACCTACAACCTTTACTATTTAAGGCGCGGTTAGAAATAATTGCCCAGATCTTTGTTGGATATTCAAGCAAATTCAAATAAATTGTATATCATTGAAAAGAGCAATAAATTCTCTATAAATCCGTGTAAATTTGAGCTTGATAGCTCAAATAGTTTTTGAGCAATTGAGCGTCAAAGTTGATTTTTAATCCAAATTTTGTCAAAAACTTCAAAATCAATTGGCTCAAAAATTATAGACCTAGGAATATTGTAAATTACAGGCCATTTAGAGCTAAATAAGAGCTACAAATGCTGAAAACCTCAATGCAATTCGCCCAACGGTTATCGAGCATTTGAGGTTTGAAGATTTTGGACTTATAAAAAAAACTCGATTTTTTTATTTTTCACTTTTGCTCAATTTTGACTTCATCAATCGATAGAGCGGGTCAAAATTAGTGAAAAACAAGCCTAACATTTTTGAACAGAAACAAAAATAAAAAGGGAATCTTATTTTTGGCTTTAGACAACCATGACATAATTTCCAATTGGCTATTTTAAACAGAAACAAAAATAAAAAGGAAATATTATTTTTGGCTTTGGAAAATATTCAAATTCTTGACATGTCTTGAGCAATTGCACATATCTTTTTTAAATTTTGAGTCAGTTGAAAAAAATTATATACCATTGGAAAGAGCATTAAATTCTCTATAAGCCCGTGTAAAATTAAGTGTAATAGCTCAAATAGTTTTTGAGTAATTAGGCGTCAAAGTTGATTTTTAGTCCAAATTTTCCCAAAAACTTCAAACTCAATTTGCTCAAAAACTAAAAACCTGGGAATATTGTTAATTACTGGGTTTTTAGAGCCTATTAAGAGCTACAAATGCTGATTTTTAGTCCAAATTTTGCCAAAAACTTCAAACTCAATTTGCTCAAAAACTATAAGCCTGGGAAAATTGTAAACTACAGGGTTTTTGAAACCTATTAAGAGCTACAAATGCTAAAAATTTCAATGCAATTTGTTCAACTGTTACCGATCAATTGAGGTTTGAATATTTTGAAATCAGAATTCAAAGGGGGTACCCTTATAAAAAACTTGATTTTTTGTTTTTCACTTTTGCTCAATTTTGACTTTACCAATCGATAGAGCGGGTCAAAATTAGTGGAAAATAACCTTGACGTTATTTTCAAATGGCCATTTGTGAACAGAAACAAAAATAAAAGGGAAATCTTATTTTTGGCTTTGGAAAATTTTGAAAATCTTGACATGTCTTGAGCAATTGCCCATATCTTTGTTAAATTTTAAAAAAATTAAAGTAAATTATACACCATTGAAAAGAGCATTAAATTCTCTATAAAACTGTGTAAAATTCAATTTGATAGCTCAAAAAGTTTTTGAATAATTGTGCCTCAAAGTTGACTTTTAGTCAAAATTTTGTCAAAAACTTTAAAGTCGATTTTCTCAAAAACTATAAACCTGGGAATATTGCAGATTACAGGTCTTTAGGAGCCTGATAAGAGCTACAAATGCAAAAAATTTCAATGCAATTTGCCCAACGGTTACCGAGCAATTGAGGTTTGAAGATTTTGGAATTAAAATTCAAAGGGGTATCCCTTTCTTGACATGTCTTGAGCAATTGCCCATGTCTTTGTTAAATTTTGAGAAAATTGAAGTAAATTATCTACCATTGGAAAGAGGATAAAATTCTCTATAAATCCGTGTAAAATTGAGTTTAATAGCTCAAATAGTTTTTGAGTAATTGAGCGTCAAATTTGATTTTTAGTCCAAATTTTGCCAAAAATCTCAAACTCAATATGCTCAAAAACTATAAACCTGGGAATATTGTAAACTATAGGATTTTTAAAGCCTATTAAGAGCTACAAATGCTAAAAATTTCAATGCAATTTGCTCAACGGTTACCGAGCGATTGAGGTTTGAATATTTTGAAATCAGAATTCAAAGGGGGTACCTACCCTTATGAAAAACGCGATTTTTTTATTTTCCAGTTTTGTTCAATTTTGACTTCACCAATCGATAGAATGGGTCAAAATTAGTGGAAAACAACCCTGACATCATACCCAAAGAGCCATTTTCAGCAGAAACAAAAATAAAAAGAAAATCCTATTTTTGGTTCTTCAAACTTGACATGTCTTGAGCAATAATTGCCCATATCTTTGTTAAATTTCAAGCAAATTTAAATAAATTATATACTATTGGAAAGAGCATCAAATTCTCTATAAATAAAGTTTTGGACTTAAATATAATCAAATAGCCTGTATATTTGGTAAGATAATTGTGGACTGTTAAAACAAAAATTTGCAATAATTATTATTCAAAGATAATCAAGAAACTTATTTATTATAAGTAGGTACCCAAAATACTTCATGCAAAGCAAAAATCCAAGTAATTTAGAATAGATATTGGAAGTACAAGTACAAGTACATAACAAAAAAAGTAATTTAAGTAAAATAATTAAAGTACTTAAATGTACTTGAAATAGAATTTCAAGTAATTTACTTCAAATATTGACAACCCTGAATGCAGGTAATTAACCTTCTATTTAAATATTCAGGCTTGTTAATTTCATTTTAATAATAACAACTAGTCAATGGTAAACCCCATAAAATTCTACCTTTGAGTACCTACGTTATCAGTTATTTGAATAAATTTGAAAGTATAATCAAAACCTGATGTCAAAAACGAAAAATATCTTTGAATTCAACCAAATTCATTATTAAGTATCTACCTTTAAAGACATCAACTCTTCGTAAATGCTTTTTCCATGAAGTCACTGTATGTACATAGTAATGTATTGCACTGGAATAATCATTTTAGATCTGAATATAAACATTTGTGAGATATTTTTGCCATTAGAGGGCAATTATGGTACCTGGTTTTCTAGAAAATCATATAAAATTGGCATACATTTAAATATCACCTAAATAATTATGTTATTGATATCCTGAATCACCTCCTAATAAATTTACTGGCTAGTTTAAATAGTATATTCCCAATTTTTTTTTCAAAAACGTGTGTTTGTATTGTTGTTGTTTTATTATGTTTGTTATTCAATAATTCCTTATTTGTTTATTTATTTATTCATTTATTCATCATATAAACGGGCTGTACCCGATCGTACATGTACTTAACAAAATTAAAATTATAGAAGTGACTTACAAATAAAATAAAACAAAATAAAAACATTAGAATTGACTTAAACAAACAAGTACAAACATACTAAATACAAAGTTAACACAATAAAGAATAGGACATTTGACAATTTGATGACTCATGGAATCATAATGATTTATCCTGGTCAGAGGAGAGTTCTGGCCATAGGAAGTTCTGTGAAATTTCAATTCAAACGTTTTACCTTCCCTTAAAGTTCGCAAAGGCACATGAAATGGATTAATGCAAGTAATTCTGAACAGTTAGATATAATTTTAAAGCATATCAAAGTATCTGATATCCCCCTTCTCCTTTCTATGCTGTGCAAATCTTTAGTCTTTTCTAATAGTGTATAGTTTAAATTGTCAGATGATAATAAAAGCAATATATTTTAGAAACTTTCTGTGTACACTAAATTTTTAACATAGGTTTGAAAGAATGGATTCCAAATGACAGAACAGTTTTCTAGCTGAGATCTTACTAGATATGTATATAATAATTTTATTGTGTTTATGTCTTTAAAATATTTAGTATTTGTCTTGACAAAGCCTAACAAACGCAGGGCTTTATTATAACAGCTCTCTATATGGGCAGAAAATGTAAGTTTATAATATATTAATACCCCAAGATATCTAATCATGTTCAACTCCTCCAAATATTTGTTATTTATTTCATAGCCATCAACCTGATGATCTACTAAACTTAATCCACTAACATTTATCCACATTAAGGATCATTTTATTTTGATTACACCAATCAGAAAACCTATCCAAATCTTCTTGGAGTAGATTGATTTGTTATGCTTTTATAGACCTTCAAATCATCAGCGTATAAAACAAATTTGGAGTGCACGAAGCAAGTCTGAATGTCATTAATAAACAAATTGAATAAAAGAGAAGACTGGTACGCATGGTCATACTTTAATGGGAACCGACAGTGTATTTTCGATTTTTACAAGTTGCACCCTATCTGTCAAGAAAAATTTATCCAAGTCAAGAGATTCCATAAAGTGATAGTTTATTTATAAGTAAAGTGTAATTTATCTTGTCAAATATCTTTGAAAAATCGGTGTAAACTGAATCTACGTCATATTCTAGTTCGAGTTGATCAATTATGAAGTTAGTTTACACTAGTAGATTTGATACTATTGATTTATTTTGCACAAAACCACGCTGATTAGCTAGGTGTTTAGTGCAACCCTCTAGGAATTTGGTGATCATTGATCCATTATCTTAGGTATTTGAGACATTTTTAAAATTGGCCTATAGTTCTCTATCTTATTTTTATTCCCATTGTTTTTAGAAATAAGCATTATATAAGTTGCTTTCCACTTTTGATGAAAAATACCCATTGACAGTAACTTATTAAACAAGATCCATAATGGCCTTGCGAGAGAAAATTAAGAATATTAGGGGATATTATCAGGACCTGGTCCCTCAGTTGGGATTACCGAGTCCAATTTACTCGAAATATCAGAAATTTTAAAATGAAAGGAGTTAACATCTAGATCGTTAAAAGATATACAGTCTAGTAGCTGAACAAATGTCTTGGTTAGGTATGTATAGGGCTATAATCCATTGAGGTAGGTCTAAGCTCAGCATTGTTTCATAGTCATGTGTTAGTAAAGCAAGGTTTGATGTTCAGTTTGTTGAGTGGTCCAAAAACTCTTTGTCATGCCGAAGTCGAAGAGTCAAGGTGAATGATATCACTCTTATTTTTAACATCCTTTTCCATAATATTGTAAATTGTTTCTTGAACAATCAATAGATGATTTAAAATGCTCAGGTCCAGGTGTGGACAAAGTTTTATTCCAAACTTAAAATCTTTACTAAAATTGTTGAACTGAAAATGGCATATTGTCTGCGCGAAGAGGTTTTTGCTTTCAACATTTTCAATTCAATCTATTTGAAGTAGCATTCCATCAACACTAAATAAATTGAATACCTATTCAAAATCGCAGAAATCACAGGCTACTTTTTGAAATGGCAGAGTAGGTTGTTCTTGAATTATCATTGGTTCTTTTATTATTCTTGCTCTATAATTTTCACACAATCTACTTGTATTATCCGAGTTCATATTTAACCAATAAAATAAGGATCTAGCCCTAGATAAACATAAACTTCCCTGCTTGGTAAATAACTTCAGTATTACCTGTATCTGATTAATTTTAATATTAAAGCCAGGTTGACACAGTCCTAGTGTACTTGAATCAAGTACCTTTGGACTCTAAGCCTCACTTGAATCGTATCACGTCCAGTTCGATATAGGATAGGTCCTAACATTCAATTTAGTAAGCCAACTTACTTGGTTCAAGTTCTCATCCAAGTGTACTTGGACCGTGTAAACCTGGCTTTATGCTTTGTAATATACTTGATGGAATTTCTCATTAATTTCTCTTCTCATTAAACTTTCTAACAGTTTGTGATCTATGTGAGTTAAGGCTTTCCTGCACAAAATTGCTAAAAATTATTCTGTTTCTGACAAACTTTTTGATACAAAATAGCAATGATATGTAAAAACATTTATCATGAATGTCACGCCATCCATAATAAACATTTCTCTTTAAAAATTTTCGCAATTCAGATAAATTTGGTATAAATTTTCTTGAATAATTTAATAGTTCTAGAAATCTTTGTAAAGCAGTTTTGTCAGTTGGAATATTACATGTAATTTGAAATAGGTTTTACTCTATTATCATCAGGTTTGATTTTACCATTCTCAAATATGTGACCTAAATAATAACGTACTAGTCTTAAGTGATATTGAAATTTAGTTCCATTAAATTTGATATTGTTTTCTTTAGCTCGTAACATTATTTTTTTCAAAATAGGATCATATTGCTCTAAAGTTTCAGCAAAAATAAGTATATCATCGATATACATAGAAACATTTTCAATGTCATTAAAAATTTGTTCATTATACCTTTGAAAAATTTCTTCAGCAATATTTAAACCAAATGGTAATCTATTAGAAGAATGAGAACCAAGAGCAGGAAATAATAATGCAATTATATTGATATTTTGGAGTTTGGAGATAGTCCGTTTTTTGAGATATTGAGCTTATAAGAACTCACACCATTATTGAAAACTATGATTACTCGAATAATATTGAGCTGTAATTAACATTATTTAAACAGCTTTGGACTGCGCTTAGAAATTAAAAAGTTTCTATCTCAAATTGAAATCTTATTATAATTTTTGTTTCAGATATACCCAAATCAAATTTTTAACTCCAAAGCTTCCACACAACTCAATAGACCATCATGGACCAGAGCAAAGTTTTCAACCGTTTGGAATCGTACGAAAGTCAAATCGCTTCGTCTCCGGACACAAAGTCCAGCGTTTCTTATCACATGATGAAGCAGTCGTTGCACAACATGTGGAGCGCCGTTTATTCGACGGAAAGTTGCGATTCGCGAACCGCTAACATCAAGAAAATTCAAGAGTGTTTGTCTAGTTTGGAGAGAAAAGTTACGGAAAATGAGCAGAAGAAGTATCAGTTGTATTACGGGAAGGGGCAGGATAATTTGAGCAATAGGGGTGCGAAGTGTTGTTGACTACTAACAAATTTAGTTTAATCCTCATTATGTATATTACTATATTCTGTGATAGAATTTCAATTAGCCTCAAAAATGGCACATTCATTACAAAATTCTGGTTGTTGCATTAAATATGTAAGATGTGTAATATTTGAAATTTGGCAAACAAAATATATTTTCGTTATTAAATAGGTACTTGCAAGTTTATTTCCACATGATTCAGGACAAAATAAATTGCCACCCACGGGAAAAAAAAAACCCAGAAATCCGCAAAATTTAAGGACATATACAAATTCGTTAAATTAGAGCGAATCGTTGAGCGTGAAATTACAATCAACCCGAGAGAAAAAAATAACCAAAAAATTCGTGCAATTTTAGCCAAATTCGGGTTAATTTCTCAAATAAATGACTGGTGGGGGTTCATAAATCAAAAAACCCCAAATCACTTATACAATATACCTCTGCGGCAATAATATATTTATTGAAACCGGACCCTTATCATCGCCCATTCGCGTCTCTCAGGAAGTTATTAAAGTGTCCAATATAGTTTATCGCCCGGCCTCCTCCTTAATGTTAGGACCAATTTAATTGACACATTTAGGGCAATTTAGGTTGGACATAGGACTGGTTAAATAGAATAATTATATTGAGTTAATTAGTCTTAAAGTTATTGGTTATAGTCATCAACAATTAAGGAAGGGTAAAATTGTTATATAAGTCAATGTTTACTGTTGTAGTTGGGCAAAGGACCCCGCACACCTCTTATTGGTTTTTGGTTTTCTGTCAAACTCAATGAAATTTTGATATATTTTGACTTCCTGATAAAAAGTTCTCATAAGCCCAACCCAATACTATGAACAGTTTTCGAGATAGGTAGGTAGTTTAAAATCCATCATTGTACACATTTGCATTTACATCTACCTGTAACCTAATAATATACCAAAATTGACAGGTATCCATAGGCTCAGTTGACAGGTAAATGTAAATGCATATAAAATGTGCACATTTCTTGAACATTAAAGTACCTACAAGCTTCAAGTTTTCCACATTTTAAACCATATTTTCAATGTCATTGGTGATTACACGTAGGAAAATTAACTTCATTGTAAACACACACCTTCTCCAGTTTCCTAAGTTAATTAAAATTCTCCGCACGTTAAGTTAAGTGAATGTAAATGAGCCTTTACTTAACAAAACTAATAACATATTTCTCAAAATTTAAGCAAACATACAATATGAATGTGATGTGACACTTGCAAAGCAAAATTCGCATGAAAAGGCAACATGAATGTGACACTTGCAAAGCAGAATTTGAACAATTTATACTTGGTAAGTCTCAAACTTCTTCTTGCCTTAATCAAGTACCAAGTAAAATTTCCATTTGTTACATGATTTTCCCAAGGGTGATCAAGAGCTGGTGATAATCAAAATATGAACTATCATAAGTAGTGACACAATTCAAACAAAAATGCAATATGAATGTGATGTAACACTTGCAAAGCAAAAATTCGCATAAAAAGGCAATATGAATGTGACACTTGTAAAGCAAAATTTGAACAATTCCTACTTGGTAAATCTCAAACTTTTTCTTGCCTTAATTAAGTACCAAGTAAAAATTTCCATTCTGTACATGATTTGCCCAAGGATGATCAGGAGCCGGTAATAATCAAAATATGAACTATCATAAGTAGTGACACAATTAAAACAAAAATGCAATATGAATGTGATGTGACACTTGCAAAGCAAAATTCGCACGAAAAGGCAATATGAATGTGACACTTGCAAAGCAGAATTTGAACAATTCCTACTTGGTAAATCTCAAACTTCTTCTTGCCTTAATCAAGTACCAAGTAAAATTTCCATTTTTTACATGATTTTCCCAAGGGTGATCAAGAGCCGGTAATAATGACAATATGAACTATCATAAGTAGTGAAAAAATTCAAACAAAAATGCAATATGAATGTGATGTGACACATGCAAAGCAAAATTCGCATGAAAAGGCAATATGAATGTGACACTTGCAAAGCAAAATTTTTATGATTTCTAGTTGGTAAATCTCAAATTTCTTCTTGTCTTAATTAAGTACGTAGAAAATGTGATAAAATGTATGTATACTTGTTGCCTGTGTGAAGTTAAAAATGATTTTAGATTGAATATTTGTATAAATTTGGTAACAACGCCCAAGTTGTAATGTAAGCCAACAATTTTAAGGCAAACAATGTCATAAAGGTAATGTGGAAAAACGGAAAAACAAAAGCCGTATATTATGGTAGCCATGTGGTTTTTTTACGCGTTTGAATGTCTTTGTTTATTTTGCTGTGTTTTTTGTTTTGCTCGCTAATGGAAGAATAATGCAAATACATACCTATACATATAGCGGTTTATTAAGCCTGCAAATTCTTATTCAACACACAAAATTGGATTTTTATTTGTTTGAATAATGTAACTAGGTATAATCGTAAAATTGCCCTATAATGTAAAAAGACAAGGGAACAGATGCTAGTTTACGATAAAATAATGTTTTATTGAAAATCGATCTTCATATGCCGTTTGGCCCGAATCGCCTTTTGGTTGGTTGTGTGAAAGACAAAAAGAAAATGGCTAGACGTGCGGGATAAGACGATTTTGATAAGAATTGGATAAACGATAATCGAAACACGTGATGTATAAATAATAATTGCATTTTTATTTGCAAATACTCTCCTATAATAAGCATTTGAATTGGAAAATTCTTATAGAGTATGAAACAATGCAAATGATAGGTCCTTTTGCTATAGCAGTACATTGGATCAGGTGTAACCCCTTTTGGTAATGAATTAACAAGAGGCCCATAATATGCTCGGTTTTCTCGGCGAATAATTAGACAAACAGCTTCCTGAGAAAAACAGCTCCCCGATAAAAACAGCTCTCCGGTAAAACCAGACCAACAGGGATTATTTCATTCTAATTCGTACGTGTGCTCTTTTACGACCTGATCTTCTTGTTTCAAAATTTATCTTTTTACCATTCAACTTCTATTCCACTTTGGTTTCATCAATTATTTCCTTTTTTATTGTGTTTTGACAATAAATGACGTAATTGATATACTGACGTGAATGTAATCTCATATCTTTGATAATTTTGGCTTAAGTATTATTACATTACATCTCAACACTCCTCCTTAATTACTTTAACTTTCAAATTATCAAATATTTTTCGACTTAGAGGTTTGGTGAAGATATTAGCCAATCAATCGTTTTATCAACATGCTTTTTTGGTATCTTAATATGCTTCTTTCCTTTGATAATTTTTCCTTCATGTGCATTCTTAAACATATGAATGTACAGCTAGCTGATTCTCCACAAATAAGGGAATTGGTTTCTCAATATTTATAAAACCAAGTGCACTTTCTATAGTTCGATATCTATGTAATAAGTTCACCAGGTATAGTACAAAATACTGCACTAGTTAAGCGTCCTATCAGTGTATCTCCTCTCCATAGTCAGAAACTTTGTATGCTATACTAGGTTTTGGATAAGCAACAAGCTTGAGAAAGTTGTGAAATTTTTGAGTATTTATCAATGTTCGAGGGTTATTCGGATAGAAATGTTGACAGCAATGTCTGAGGCAATGTCGTAGAGGAAAAACAACCCTAGGGCTGTTTTCAGTATAATGTTGACATGATTTAGTAACACCTACAAGGATTGCTTATCGGCCTCGTTTTTGGACTGTAGTTTTTGGTAATCGCCGCCATATTGGTGTGTTACTATTCCCGACGTCATAACTAAGTCGTCAGCTATTTAAACAGCTGAAATCAAGGCGAGAAATAACATGTTGCCTACGTCACAACTGGTAATTTGGCTAGGGGGGGATTTGTTACACACAGGCTTTATGAGGATAGGTCATCCTGTAGTAGTAGTGTGTATCATTCTTGACGAAACGCCACCTAAAAACGACCAGGGGGGGTTTATTTGAAATGTACAATTCAAATTCGTCTGACCAAGTCGCATTTTTTAGCATTGAAATACCGGCAAAAATTGCGACTTAGTCATACGTATTTGAATTGCACGTTTCAAATAAACCCCCCCCAGGGGCGGATACAGGACTTTTGAAAGGGGGAGGGGGCAGTTTAAGTTAAAGTAAGTCAGATTTGGTTAGTTTTGGCAGCTCATTGTGCAAGATACAATTTTTCGAAGGAATTTTGTGACACTTGGTTTCTCTGATAGTATTTTTAAAATTTTTAGAACCAAATATGTTGGAGACGCCTCAACCAAATATAGACAAACTATATAGTTTTGGAATCGGGAAATTGTGCTCTACTTCAAGAATAAAGAACCAAATATAGGGCATCCCATTTGAAAAAAGCTGAAAGCATGCAACATTTCACATTTCTGACATTCAATTTTGGTTTCTGACCATGGATTCTAAAAATTTAGCCAATACTGTACAACTTCTGTATTTACACCTTTCATGTACTTGTAAAGGTGAAGGCTGTAGGTGGGGTATCAATATGTAAAAAAACACCCTGTACTTGAACAATAGCTTATTATATAAAGTCAGAATTTGTAAGATTATCCACTTTTTGTCAATTTGACATTGTGACAAGTTATTCAAGTACAATGAGTGAACTGTTGCGGAACTTATACGTGGACCTCTGCGGGACGAGCCATCTATTTATCAATATGTTGTTTAATTACGATACTAACCTGACTCACTGAAATGTAAGTTATTCTCATTAGTTTAAAAACTACACGTTTCAGGTGAATGTCTTACTTGAGCAGTTCAACAGTATATTGTTGAGAGTATTTTTAAAAGGGGAGTAGATGGCTGCGGAACTCGCTGCGCTCCTCCCGCAGAGGTCCACCCATAAGTTCCGCAACAATCCACTTATTTGTACTTGAAAAATTACTTATTATACACAGTCAGAATTTGGAAGATTATCCACTTTTTGTCAAATCGCCTTTTAACAGGAATTAGTAATGTTACTTTACCAAACTAAATAGTAATATATTGTGACAAGTTATTCAAGTACAAACGAATGGATTGTTGCGGAACTTATGGGTGGACCCAGCCATCTATTCACCAATATGTTGTTCAAGTACAATACTAACCTGATTCACTCAGTTGTGAATTTTTCTCACTAGTTCAAAAACTACACGTTTCAGGTGAGTGTCTTATTTGAAGAGTTCAACAGTATAAGTATTGGTGATTAGAT